TACACAAAAATGAGGAGGTTAGTTAAACAGAAATTAAAGGGTACAGTCCCAAAAGTGAAATCTCTACAAGTTACGTGGAAATTTTTTAAAGACACCATAATAGTGGATCAACTTAAATATATACCCCAAATTAAAAAATATAGTAAGAAAACAGGAAAAAAAAAAAAAAAAAAAGAAAAGAGCCACTGTGGCTAAACAACAAAGTAAAAGAAACAGTGAGAGGCAAAAAGGCATCCTTTAAAAAGTGGAAGTTAAATTCTAGTGAGGAAAATAGAAAGGAGCATAAACACTGGAAAATGAAGTGTAAAAATACAATTAGGAAGGCCAAAAGAGAATTTGAGGAACAGTTAGCCAAAGACTCAAAAAGTAATAGCAAATTTTTTTTTTTTTTAAGTACATCAGAAGCAGGAAGCCTGCTAAACAATCAGTGGGGCCACTGGACGATCAAGCTGCAAAAGGAGAACTCAAGGATGATAAGGCCATTGCGGAGAAACTAAATGAATTCTTTGCATCAGACATCACAGCTGAGGATGTGAATGAGATTCCCAAACCTGAGCCATTCTTTTTAGGTGACAGATCTGAGGAACTGTCCCAGATTGAGGTGTCATTAGAGGAGGTTTTGGAACAAATTGATAAATTAAACAGCAATAAGTCACCAGGACCAGATGGTATTCACTCAAGAGTTCTGAAGGACTTCAAATATGCAGAACTACTAACTGTAGCCTGTAACCTATCATTTAAATCAGCTTCTGTACCAGATGACTGGAGTATAGCTAATGTGACGCCAATTTTTAAAAAGGTCTCCAAAGGTGATCCCGGCAATTACAGGCCTGTAAACCTGACTTCAGTACTGGCCAAACTGGTTGAAACTATAATAAAGAACAATATTGTCAAACAAACATAATTTGTTGAGGAAGAGTCAACATGGTTTTAGTAAAGGGAAATCATGCCTTACCAATCTGCTAGAATTCTTTGAGGGGGTCAACAAGCATGTGCACCAAGGGGATCCAGTGGATATAATGTATTTAGATTTTCAGAAAGCCTTTAACAAGGTCCCTCACCAAAGGCTCTTACGCAAAGTAAGCTGCCACAGGATAAGAGGGAAGGTGCTCTCATGGACTGATAACTGGTTAAAAGATAGGAAACAAAGGGTCGGCATAAATGGTCAGTTTTCAAAAGGGAGAGAGGTATATAGTGGTGTCCCCCAGGGGTCTGTTCTGGGACCAGTCCTATTCAACATATTCATAAATGATCTGGAAAAAGGGGTAAATAGTGAGGTGGCAAAATTTGCAGATGATACAAAATTACTAAAGATAGTCAAGACCCAGGCAGACTGCGAAGAGCTACAAAAGGATCTTTCAAAACTGGGTGACTGGGCAACAAAATGGCAGATGAAATTTAATGTTGATAAATGCAAAGTAATGCACATTGGAAAGCATAATCCCAACTATACATATACAATGATGGGGTCTAAATTAGCTGTTACCACTCAAGAAAGAGATCTAGGAGTCATTGTGGATAGTTCTCTGAAAACATCCACTCAATGTGCTGCGGCAGTCAAAAAAGCAAACACAATGCTGGGAATAATTAAGAAAGGGATAGATAATAGGACAGAAAATATCATGTTGCCTCTATATAAATCAATGGTACACCCACATCTTGAATACTCTGTGCACATGTGGTCGCTCCATCTCAAAAAAAGATATATTGGATTTGGAAAAGGTTCAGAAGAGGGCACCAAAAATGATTAGGGATTAGGCTTCCGTATTAGGAGAGATTAATAAGGCTGGGACTTTTTATCTTGGAAAAGAGACAGCTAAGGGGAGATATGATTGAAGTCTATAAAATCATGGCTGGTGTAGAGAAAGTAGATAAGGAAGTGTTGTTTACTACTTCTCATAACACAAGAACTAGGGGTCACCAAATGAAATTAATAGGCAGCAGGTTTAAAACAAATAAAAGGAAGTATTTCTTCACACAACGCAGTCAACTCCTTGCCAGAGCATGTTGTGAAGGCCAAGACCATATCAGGGTTCAAAAAGAACTAGATAAATTCATGGAGGATCGGTCCATCAATGGCTATTAGCCAGGGTGGGTAGGAATGGTGTCCCTAGCCTCTGTTTGCCAGAAGCTGGGAATGAGCGACAGGTGATGATTACCTATTCTGTTCATCCCCTCAGGGGCACCTGACACTGGCCACTGTTGGAGGACAGGATACTGGGCTAGATGGACCATCGGTCTGACCCAGTAAGGCCATTCTTATGTTCTCCCCACAGATTTAATTCCCAGCAAAAAATGACAGGGAAGAAAAGGGAAGCTGCACTGGGGGGAGGGGAAAGGCTGGGGACGCCTATGGTCATAGTTTGGGGGGGCAGGGGGCATTGCCCCCCAGAGGTGAGGGATGGGGGGGCATACGGGGTGCCCCGCCCCCCATTTCTGCTATCCAAAGCTGCCTGGGTGAAGCAGGGTGCCGCTCAGCTCCACTGACTCTACAGCTTGATGTCACCTCCTGCATCCTAGTGCTGGCCATGCTCCCCTCTGTGTGTGCTGGGAACCATCCAGTTTTCTGGACAAGGGGAGGGAACGTGGGCAGGGGGGGCAGAGAAAATGGGAGAAGAGGATGGGATGAAGAGGCAGTGAGGAAGGAAGGGGGTGGGATAGGGCAGGGGGAGGAGAATGTGGGAGTAAGGGGAGGTGGATAGGGTCAGGGGACAGTGGTGAGAGGAAGGGGGAGGAGATGGGAAACAGAAAGGAATTGGAGGGAGAATCAGGAGCCTGGCATGCAGCATCCCCTCAGCAGCAGCTGAAGCTCCCCTGTTAAGCAGACCCATTGAACACCCACCCCACCAAGCCATACTCCCCCAGCACCCAGACCCTGCACGTAACGCCCCCCCCGCTGAGTCCCATCCTCCTACATCCAGACTCCCCCCCCCCCCCCCGGCAGCTGAGCCCCAACCACCCTGGACCCCCCTGCAGAGTCCCATTGCCCCTGCACCTAGAACCCCACAACAAGCCTGTCCATCCAGATCCCCCCCGCACCCAGTTTGATCCACATAGAACCTTCTCACCCCACACCAAGCCCCTCTACACTTGGCTCATGCTGGGCTGAGGCGGCCTGCCCACAACTGGTACACCTGGCACAGAAGGGGAAGGCCCTGGGCTGTTTCTGGGGCAGGTCTGGCCCGGCCCTTGTGCTATGTCAGGATTGGGTGCAGCCTCACCACTGAGTTCCTGGGGGGGGGGGGGGGGGGGGGCTGCAGGGTGATCTTCCACCTCTGTGCAGGCAGCAGCCTGTGCTCCTCAGTCCTCACTGCCATGCAGGAGCCTCCACATTAAAAATTATCCACAATAAATAAAATATTGTGCACAGAATTTTTATTTTTTGGCATAGAATTCCCTCAGGAGTGCAGTATATTGCACCCCTTGTACTAATTTAATTAAACTGATAAAATTAAAATGGAACAACCTGTATGTAGAGACACAAGCCTTTTCTTAAAATTCTCCACCACTGCAGCAACTAACTACTGGAACATGAGCGTAGTCTGGCTGCCTGACAGAGATATTTATCCACATCATCTAGACCTGTTGTGACAAATTTCAGGAAAAGAAGGGGATATTGGGGGGGACAGGGACCTTAAAGTGCTGAGAATTTTTCAATACATCTGGTCTATTTTAACCCCTCCCCTGTAAGTGCTCTCTTTGTACGTGAGGGGCTGAGCTGCACACACTGCGATACTGAAAAATTGTACATCATAGCCAGGGACATCGCCAACGTCAAGACATCAGTCTATTGCTTTTATACCCTAGGGCTACAATTAACACCCGAGATTAAAATACCGTAATGAACTAAACCAAGCCAAGCCATTCCCGAGTGCAATGAGTTTATTTGCTGCCCTGCACCGCGCTCTGCACAGCCAGTGGCCCTGCCCGTCGGGAGAGGCCATTGCCGAGCCTGACTGGGGAGGTTTTCCACACAAAGAAGGGGGGAGGGGCAGGGAAACATTTAACGGGGATGCGATGGTAGCGTCTGCTGGGGCGGGGTGAGCGGGGGGGTGTCCCGGTGCTGCTGGCCGGGACCGTCAGCGGCATCCACGACGGATGAGCCCGGGGCGCTTCACTCGATACCAACGGGGAGCAAGAGCCCAGACACCAGCCCCGCGAAACCCCCGTGACCCCGCCCCCCGAGCCACTCCGCCCGCGCACCTCTCTCCCCGGGTCTCACCTGCCCCCGCGGGGCCCGGCCCGGTCCCCCGCGCTCTCCATCCTCACCCCCGCCGTTGCTATGGGATCCTGGCCACTCGCGCTTAGCCCCGGCCGTCGCCGCTGCCCTTAGCAACCGCACCCGACACTGAGGCGCGGCGCCATTGGCCGAAGACGCAACACCAGGAGCGTTCATTGGCTGGTGCCTGGAAGGGGTGGGGTAAATCCGCGCATGCCTATTGCAGGGTGGTGGTAGGACCACCCCCACTTGGCTCGTGCCCGGCACTCCGGTGGCTGCTGTGCAGCGGAGGCTCCGACGAGGCGGAGCTGTGGGGGTAGCTCAATGGCCGCGCGGGGCGGGGCAAACAGGGCTGGACCCAGAGACGCCAGCGTGGGCTCACTCACCCCGGCTGGAGCAGGGTGCGAAAAGCGCATCCCACCCGTACCAAGAGGGTAGGGCCCAGGCGGGCGTAGGGAGGGTCTGGAAACCCAAGACGAGGAGCAGGGAGGAAGGAAACGTCCGGGGCTGGGTATAGAAAGTCTCTTGGAGACTAGGAACCTCTCAGCCACGCCCCCACCCATCACGATCCAGTGCAGACTGATCTTCAGGCGGGCTGGCGGGGAGAGAGCCTCTCTCTGCAGCACCAAGCAGTCTTAGCCTACAATATAAGTCCTGGTTCTTCTCTTTATCCTGGCACTGATCTCCCAGCTAGGTTTAGCAATGCCCGTTGCTTTTGGAGCCAGCAAAAAGGGATTTCAGTTATTGTGCCCCTCAAGTCAAAGGCAGCCTGTCCTATTCCAAAGGGATCAGCACTGACTGGGATCAGCAGTTACAGTCTTAACTAGGATGTCACTTGGGCTCAGCATCCCCTTCTCCCTCAGGTATCTCATCAGGTGAGACCGTTTTCTCCATGTTACCTTCACTCCATACTCATGCTCTGGGGTATCCTTGACCAGTACAGATGTTGGCTCAAGGCTCTCAGTGGTATCAGCACAGAGATCAAGGCCACTGTGTGGATTTGGAGAGAGGGTGTTCATCTGTGGTAAAGTACCATTGCATCCATAGCTTCTCACAGAGGGCAGCTCTGGAGTCCGTAGATCTGGTGGACTGAAAACATCTGGCTCAGCATCCTGGTTAGGAAACTGAGAGGCCCCTTTTCCACAGCTCCTAGGCTTGCCCACTGAGGTACTGGGCTTTGCTGCAGTGCCCCTCTTTGGCTGGATATGGCATGTCTTTGCACAATTCCCTGGGTTACCACAAGAGTCTGAGTACCCTATTGCTCCAGCATAGGAGTGTGCCTGTGAAACCTCAAACATTAAAGGAGGAAATTTGCAGACTGTGTGTTTCCGACACACACCTCCCACATTGAGGAAACCACGACTATCATCCCAGCTCTGGAAGCTGCGGGCAACATGGTGCTGCTTCTGACATCTCTTGGAGCCTGCTGACACAGTGCTTTCAAACTGTGGCGACACCTGAGGGGCCAAACAGAGATGATGAAAAACTGTTTTCCTTCAGAGAGGGTGACTCATCATACCCCCTACTTCCTTCACAAGGCAACCACTATCTACCCTACTCCCCACCCCTGCTGCATGTCTTTCTTGGTTTGAGAGCTGCCATTTTATTACTTTCTTGGCAGGAAGTCCAGTGTAATGACTGGAAAGGAAAATCACACTATCCAAATGAGTGAGAAAAACAGAAAGCTCACATATGCCTTAAAAGTACAAATCTACTCTGAAAAGTGACTATATATAAATGCACCTCCTTCCCTAGATACATTCAAAGTCTTGTTTGCTTATTTCAGTGATAAACTAAATCAACTGCTATGTCAATCTCTTATCCCCGCAGAATCACAGTTCAAAGAGTGATTCTGTTCCTTCCTGTGCATCAACAAAATTGTTTACAAAATTTCAATGAGTTCCACGGAGGCTGTACTGGTTTCTCTAAGGGCAGAATTTGATTTGCAGGACCTCTAATACAGATGATGATGCATAAGTAGTAGAGAACCATCTAGATTCTTGGATCCCAGATTGAGGTTGCAAGACTGTCAGTGTCACACACACACACACACAAGTCTTACTGATAAAGTGATCCGATTTGCATATTTATATCTGTGGCACTCCAGGACTTTCACTGCACTGTAGCAGTGTCCACATGGGATGTTAGTGCGCAGCAAGCTACTGAACTCTAAGATTATATTATAAAAGGTAAACAACAACTTTGTAAGTCTCCAGTCTCTGTCATGCATTCAGATCCTGAACATTTCCTAAGTCAAACAGAAAAAAATGGCAGATCCCAGTTCCACTGTTTATTAAAGTATTATGATAGATAGAATTTATTTATTCTCAAAAATGAGTCCCACAATCTTTCCTATTAGCTCCCTTTCATTACAGGGTTCTGATTGAAACTTTCCATTTCCTAATATATCTCACTTTCTCCTAGCACTGAGGGGAGCCCAGAAACCTGGGTACTAGTTGTGATTGTTGTGGAGTTGCTGTGTAATCAAAGAATACTGATAAGTAACCAAGTTATTGAGAGACTTTATATCATATATCTATACTGTTTAAATTCAGTGGGGACTGAACAGGAAGCCCACATAATGGCTCCCCAAATAAGAACATCCTGGCATACATTTGAAACAGGGAAGGCTATTGACTTTGAGGATCCTATCCTGTCTCCAGCGAAGCTGCAAGCCTTGTTTTGTCAGGCTGGGAGCCTGGAGATTACAAGGATACCAAACAGTTAAAAGCCCTATGAGGGGGAAGAGGTTGTCGGTTGCCAGAGGGTTGTCCAAGGAGACAAGCTGACAAAGAAAGACTCCGCTTAGGAGTCTTTAAGAAGTTAAATTTACCAAGATTCCCATGTGAAAGACACCTGGATGTCCACACAGTCTGTTTATTATTTTAAGATCTATTTTCTCTGAAATATTTTTGTTCAAAATAAATAATTTTAAAAGGCTGTTTGGTCCCAGAGGGAGGAAACTGCAAGTACTGAATATAAGGCAGACGTGGTGAGGAAATCACAGTTGATACACAGGGGATGGCTACTCAGGGCCCAGTCTAAGAGTGAGAAAATTGTGTGAGTCCGTTCCAAGAGAGGTGATGTCTCAAGGTCTGAGAACTAAGCAGCAGTGCACTCAAAAGAGACCAGGAGGGCCCAGGGGTTCCATTAGCCCAGTAACTGTGACACTACTTATTAAGTAAATACTCCTCAGACGTATCCAAATAAGTCCATTGTACATTTGGAAATTTTCCATTGTTCCAGATACACACAGATTCTACCTCCTCTCAGCAACCGTTTTACTCACTGTTTTAGAACCCATAGAGCTGACTGCCTGAAGCATGTTTAAAATGCTTTGCTTTAAAAAAAAAAAAAATCAACGTAAAGAAATTTAAAATCTAACAGAGATACTCCAGGTCTCTGGGGCTGGTGGAGTGTTTCATTCAAGTTTGAATCCTTGCTCCTTGGGGTTGCTTTGTTAAAAAGCTTTGAGACTTAAGTGTTGTTATTTAGCAGAGCTGCCTGAGGTGATGGCTTCTGCAAGGACAGGCAGCTCCCACTGAACAACTGCACGTTTGCTTAAAAAAAAATGTTATGTCATGATAAAAGTATCCTCGGACTGATTGACCAGAAACCTAATTGCCCCCTCAACAATATTTGGGTATGTTGGAAGAACTGTGTGGGGAAAAGCAGAGGATTAAACACACATAAAAATGGAAAGGAGGGCAGGATTAAGGTACATAGATTACTGCTTCAAAAATATGCTATCTAGATATTTGCACTATGCTCTTACCACAGTATCTGCCTGAAGCCTGCTTTATCACCCTGCCTTGAATTTCTAGTACAGAGAATCTATTTGCCAGCTTACTTCAGGCTCAACATTTTCTTTTGATTGAAACCAAGTAATATCACGTTAACAAAATTTAACAGAAAAACGGAAATTTTAATTTTGTTATTATCAAAAACCTGTTGGTTTTTTTTTTTTTTTTTAAGAGTTCATTGTGGTGTTGACAACCCAGAAAAAGAGCATTGACTTAAATGAAGCATAACAGTAAAGCTGAGCAGAGTTGTCCAATCGAGTGAAATGCAAGACATCAACAAAATGCATGAGCAGTGAAAAGTGAACATGATTAGTAAATACAATTATCTTGGTAGTGCCCCTTTATCATGTTGGAGAGGGGGTTATTGGTGTCTCAACTTGATAAGATAATTTTTCTAATCAGCTGTGTCTCTTGTTGTTCACTCTTGTTTGTAGTCTATGTAGCACTGCTAAAGCCTTTGAAAACAAACACATCCTCTCCCCACTTTCGCACAAGGCTTGATCTTCAAACAGATTCACACTGACCCCAGGCACGTACTAGTTTGTTTCCAAGCAATACACTGGCCTTTGGAGCAGACTGCATTTCTCACCAAGTGGCTGGCTAATATAAGAAGCAACCCCCTGCTCCTTACCACTCTGCATTTCTGGAAGTAGGCCTCATCACCTTACATCAAGTACTCTGCCTTTCAACCATATACATTACAAAGTATAACATCCATTTTAACCCAACATTTAACTCCATCCCACAGAGACCGGAGATTCTCTGTTTATTTGTGTAAATGCGACCACAGAAATGCAAGCTATCAAAACTGAGATTATTAAAAAATGCATATTAAATATGAGAACCACAGTTAAGATGCAGGCTCTATTTTGTATCATAGTTGAGCAGAAAGGTGTCACATTTAGTTGCTGGAGGGTTGAGAGCTACACCCCCAATTTGAAATAGTTGCTGTATTTTAAGTATCAAATCCAATACAGAATAAAACTAAAAAGTAAGTATTCTACTTTCCATTTCCAAGGTTTTCAGTTACCGTAAAAACCAAAAAGAATCTCCCTCATATATGGATCCCAACCTTTTCATGCCACCATGCTAGTTTACAAGACAGGGAACTCTGTTTTATCAGCTGGCAGCCACCATATCCCATTCAGATGCAAGCACTCCAATCTGCAATTCAACTTGGCCTGCTTGTGACTGCCAGACTGGGATTTCAAGCAACCCAAACACCATAACCAGCTAGAGAACACAAAAATGAATAAGGGGGTGTTTGCTATGCATGCCCAAGATCCAGTCCAAACAGCTCTTTGTTAAGATATGCAGAAGAATGCTGAGAACAATTGCTGTAAGAAACTAAAGGGAAGGAAACCTGCACCTACCCATGACATGGAGGCATTCTGGTCTAGAGGTTTGGTAGAAACATGTCTTGGGTTCTCAGCCAAAGGCAGTGGAGATCCATAGTGATGCATAGGCCCCTCTCTTGGGGTTTCAAGGAACTGCAGTTGTGCCTTGTGAGCCTGGTGGATGCATTTCTTCTTTGGAGGCATCAAAAGGTGTGAGAAAGTCACTAAGAAACCTCATGATGCCTGGTGGAGCCAGTTAGGGGAAGAGGAAAGAGATGACAAACTGCACCCAAATCTGCAGAAAGCAAACGGGGATGTGAAACCATCATACAAACTGGCAACATTTTTGTTTTTTGTTTTTTTTAAAGGGAACACACTTCTGATCAGTCTCAAAATTCTCAGAAAAAAAATTGTAATACAATTTGGAAATATACATGTTTTATAGTATATACACACACACAAAGCCATACTCCCATTGAGGACACAATCATTAGAGCTTTCTGGCTGCTATACAAGATATAGTCTGTAGTGCGCACCTCTCCACATAGACTTATTTTACTGGGGCATCCTCCGCACTGTGAATATATCCAGCGCCACCTTGCTGTTGGGAAGAGCTTCACTAAACAACATCAGCAGCATGGAACTGACACAATTCCTGCCAAATTCACTGCTGCAAGGAGATCTGTGTAGTGAATTAAACTGAACAGAATCTTGTTAGTTTACTGATTGCAAAGGTCTGAGCAACAGTAGAGGTGCTGTAGCTGTATCTACAAACTCCAGAAGATGGCACTGCATTTGGTTACATTTGCACTTTGTTCACATTTAGTTGATTTACTTTGCAACCATAAGGAGTAAAAGACTTCTTTAAACTAAAGTTTAAATGTAGTTGAAACATGTCTTAGGCCCCCCACTGTTGTCAGGGAAATCATCCTGACCCCCAGTGGCAAGTAGACTTTTCAAGGCAACATTTTTCACTGGAACACCAAACACATCCATATTTTAATTATAACTTGTAATGTGGGTTGCTCCTGAAAACCTCAGACAGAACTGGAGCTTCATGTGCTGGATACTGTACAAGCTCATTGGAAGACAGTCCTTGCCCCCTAAAGAATTTACAATCTAGTTTAAGTCAAGATGCAAGTAAGCTTTTCAAAATTAATAGGAGGGAGAATGAAGGCAACTGTAATAAGAATGAGTGTTTAAATAAACTGGCTATATTCTAATTGCCTTCTATGACGAAATAACTGGCTCTGTGGACGAGGGGAAAGCAGTGGACGTGTTATTCCTTGACTTTAGCAAAGCTTTTGACACGGTCTCCCACAGTATTCTTGCCAGCAAGTTAAAGAAGTATGGGCTGGACGAATGGACTATAAGATGGATAGAAAGTGGGCTAGATCATTGGGCTCAACGGGTAGTGATCAATGGCTCCACGTCTAGCTGGCAGCCGGTATCAAGCAGAGTGCCCTAAGGGTCGGTCCTGGGGCCGGTTTTGTTCAATATCTTCATAAATGATCTGGAGGATGGTGTGGATTGCACCCTCAGCAAGTTTGCAGATGACACTAAACTGGGAGGAGAGGTAGATACACTGGCGGGTAGGGATAGGATACAGAGGGCCCTAGACAAATTAGAGGATTGGGCCAAAAGAAATCTGATGAGGTTCAGCAAGGACAAGTGCAGAGTCCTGCACTTAGGACGGAAGAATCCCATGCACCGCTACAGACTAGGGACTGAATGGCTCGGCAGCAGTTCTGCAGAAAAGGACCTAGGGGTTACAGTGGATGAGAAGCTGGATATGAGTCAACAGTGTGCCGCTGTTGCCAAGAAGGCCAATGGCATTTTGGGATGTATAAGGAGGGGCATTGCCAGCAGATCGAGGGACATGATCGTTCCCCTCTATTTGACATTGGTGAGGCCTCATCTGGAGTACTGTGTCCAGTTTTGGGCCCCACACTACAAGAAGGATGTGAAAAAATTGGAAAGCGTCCAGCGGAGGGCAACAAAAATTATTAGGGGACTGGAGCACATGACTTATGAGGAGAGGCTGAGGGAACTGGGATTGTTTAGTCTGCGGAAGAGAAGAATGAGGGGGGATTTGATAGCTGCTTTCAACTACCTGAAAGGGGGTTCCAAAGAGGATGGATCTAGACTGTTCTCAGTGGTAGCAGATGACAGAACAAAGAGTAATGGTCTCAAGTTGCAGTGGGGGAGGTTTAGGTTGGATTAGGAAAAACTTTTTCACTAAGAGGGTGGTGAAGCACTGGAATGCGTTACCTAGGGAAGTGGTGGAATCTCCTTTCTTCGAGGTTTTCAAAGTCAGGCTTGACAAAGCCCTGGCTGGGATGATTTAGTTGGGGATTGGTCCTGCTGTGAGCAGGGGGTTGGACTAGATGATCTCCTGAGGTCCCTTCCAACCCTGATATTCTATGATTCTATTCCTCACATGATGGTTCCAAGTCAGCTATTTTTAAAGAATTGTTATACATTTCTTTAAAAATATATGAATTAGAACCAGCAAGTGATACATGAAGCCAGCTATATCAGAGAGTCACAGAATCAAAGAAATGTAGGGCTAGAAGGGACCTCAAGAAGTTATCAACTCCAACCCGACGATGAAGCAGGGCCAAGTAAACCCTAGTTCAGTGGTCTCCAAACTTTTTACACCCAAGATCACTTTTTGAATTTAAGGGCAATCTAACCCACCCCTTCCCCAAGGCCCTGCCCCACTCACTCCATCCCCCTCCCCCCGTCACTTGCTCTCCCCCACCTCACTCACTTTCACCAGGCTGGGGTAGGGACTCTGGGAGGGAGTTTGGGTGCAGGCTAGAGAACAATCAATCACCATCCTCTTTATAGAACCGTTAACATATTTGAAGACTTATCAGGTTCCCCCATCAAGTCTTCTTTTTTCAAGAACTAAACATGCCTCCTCCCCCCCCCCCCTTTTTAAATCTTTCCTCATAGGTCAGGTTTTCTAAACGTTTTATCATTATTGTTCCTCTCTTCTGGACTCTCTCCAATTTGTTCACAAACTTTCCTAAAGTGTGGTGTCTAGAACTGGACAAACTACTCAAGCTGAGGCCTCACCAATGCTGAGCAAAGTGGGACAATTACCTCCCCATGACTTGCATATGACACTCTTGTTGAGAGTCCCCAGAATATTAGCCTTTTTCCACAGCTGCATCACATTGTAGACTCATATTCAATTTGTGATCCACTGTAACCTTCAGCTCCTTTTCAGCAGTAATACCACCTAGCCAGTTATTCCCCATTTTGTAGTGGTACATTTGATTTTTCCTTTCTAAGCGAAATATTTCACACTTGTCTTAATTGTATTTCATCTTGGAGAATTCAGACCAATTCTACAATTAGTCAAGATTGTTTTAAATTCTAATCATGTCCTCCAGAGTGCTAGCAACCCCTCCCAGCATGGGGTCATCTGGCAGTTTTACAAGCCTACTCTCAACTCCATTAGCCAAGTCATTAATGAAAATATTCAATAGCACTAGACTCAGTTCTAATCCCATGGGACCCCCTAGAGACACCTTCCCAGCTTGACAGCAAACCATGGATAACTATTCTTTGGTTGCAAGGCTGCACTCATTTATGCACTCTATCTTATAATCATCTCATCTAGACCACATTTCCCTAGTTTGCTTATCAGAATGTCACATGGGACTAAAATGAAGATATATCACATCTATAGCTTCCTCCCTATCCACTACACCAGTAACCCTGTCAAAGAAAAAAGTGAAGTTGGTTTGGCATGATTGGTTCTTGGCAAATCCATGCTAGCTAGTCCTTATAACCCTATTATCCACCACATGCTTACAAATTGATTGCTTAATAAGTTTGTTCTAATATCTTTCCAGGTATTGAAATTAGACTGATGGGTTTATAATTCCCTAAGTCCTCTTTTTTAAAAAAAATAGGTATTATGTTTGCCCTTTTCCAATCCTCTGGGACTTTCCCTGGCCTCCAGGAATTCTCAAAGATAATTACTAACCATTCGGAGATTGGTTCAGCTAATGCCTTAAATACCATAAAATGAATACAACCTGCCAACCTGAATACATCTAGCTTATCTAAATATTCTTTAACCTGTTCTTTTCTTATTTTGGCTTGCATTCCTTCCCCCTTGTCTTTAATATTAATTATATTGGGTATCTGATCACCATTAACCTATCTGGTGAAGACTGTCGCAAACTGAGCAATACACCCACCAACTTTCTTAACGTTCAGTTATTAGTTCTCCTTCCCTCCTAAGTAAAAAACCTACACTTTCCTTTGTCTTTCTCTTACTGTATTTAAAGATCCACTTCTTATTGCCTTTGATGACCGTTGCTGGGGTGTGTGTATATACTTATATAGCCAGCTACTTTATACTCCCCCCACCCCCCAGTACTAGCTAGACACACACATACACACAAGCTGGTGAGGAGGGATTGCCACCCAGCTCCGCTCCAACCCAAGCCCCAGCTCTGCTCCCAGCCATAGCTCTGCTCCGCCACCCACAGTTGCAGCCCCGGCCCCCTTACCCTTGTCTGCACTCCTGCCGAGCCACAGCCCCACCGGCTCAGGAGTGGACGGGGCAAGAGGTGGGAGTGCAACCCTGCAAAGTTTGGAGACCACTGTTCTACATACACACACACACACACACAAAGCCAGTGCTCTCTCTCCCCCCATGTCAGGGGTGGGCAAACTTTTTGGCCCAAGGGCCACATGTGGGTATGGAAATTGTATGGCAGGCCATGAATGCTCACGAAATTGGGGGTTGGGGTGTGGGAGGGGTGAAGGCTCTGGCTGGGAGAGTGGGGTCTGGGGTGGGGCTGGGGATAAGGGATTGTGGGTGCAGGAGGGTGCTCCGAGCTGGGACCAAGGGATTCAGAGGGCAGGAGGGGGATCAGGGCTGGAGGCTCCAGACAGCTTATCTCAAGCAGCTCATGGAAGCAGCGACATGTCCCTTCTCTGGCTCCTAGGTGGAGGCGCAGCCAGGTGGCTCTGTGCGCTGCCCTGTCCGCAGGTGTTACCCCTGCAGTTCCCATTGGCCGGGAACCATGGCCAATGGGAGCTGCAGGGGCACTGGTTGGGGCAGGGGCAGTGTGCGGAACCCCTTGGTTGCCCCTACCCCTGGGAGCCAGAAGCGGGACACGCCGCTGCTTCCGGGAGCCACACGGAGCCAGGGCAGGCACAGAGTGGGACAAGCCCCGGACCCCGCTCCCCGGCGGGAGCTTCAGGGCCGGACGTGGCCCCGAGGCCAGTAGTTTGCCCACCCCGGCCCCGCCCCGCCCGAGCGGGCTTTTCTCACACACCAACCCAGCGGGCAGCTGACGACACCCGACACGCAGCCCAGAGGCTCAGCAGCGGGCGGTACGCAGGCAGAGGTTACCCAGCCGCCATCGCTCGTTGGACGGGTCCTCGGCCTGGCTGGGGGGGCAGCGCAGGCACCGCAGGCACCGGGGTCACAGAGCCGCTCCAGCGGGAGAGGGGGCGGCGTGAGGCGGGCAAAGGCGCGCGGGGGCCAGGCGAGAGGCACGACCCAGCCCGCGGGGAAGGGGGGGCAGAGCTGGAGCCCCCCCCCCCCACGCAGAGGAGGGGACGTGGGCCGGGCTCAGCCCCGAGCCCAGCGGCGCCCGCCCCGCCCGGGCACCTCAGGAAGGCCGCTGCGCCGCGCGGAGAGGGAGAGAACCGGCCTCGCCTCGCGTCCCCTCCGGCCCCGGCTCCTGCCGGGCTCACCAGTGTGTCGGCGCCCCCGGGCGCGGCCGCTCATTGGCCAGTTGCGGCCCCGGATGGAACGCTCTGCCCCCCGGCCCGACCTCCATTGGCCCCGTCCCCGCACGTGACGCCAACGGGCCGCCGGGCGCCAAATTCAAACCGCGAAACGAAACGAACGGCCTCCGTGGGCTGAGCGCAGCAGCGGAGCCCGGCGGCGCCGGGTCCCTGCGGGGAGGCAGCGGGGCGCGCGACCCCCTCCCCCCCCGGACACCGGGGTGAGAGTGGGGCTGGGAGGGGCCGAAGGGCCAGGCCGCGGGGCGGGGATCAGGCAGGAGGAAGGGGCTTCGCTGTGGGGGCTGGGAGGGGATTTATTGGGGTCAGGGAAGGAAAAGGGGATCAGTGGGGTTTGTGGTGGCAAGGTAGGTGGTGCGGGGGGGAGACAGGGTGAAGAGGGTGTAAAACCTGGGCTGGAGGCTGGAGAGGAACCGGGGACCGGTGGATGCAGGCATCCGGGGAACACGGGTGGGGGAGCAGGGACTGGGGAACGGGATGGGCTAGGTTTGGGGTTGGGGTTAGGGCAGGGCAGGGCGGGCGGGGGAAGGGACGGGTGAGAATTCCCATTGTAGGCATGGCCCTGGCCTGTTCCTTCCCGCCCCGCAGGCAGCCAGGAGGCTGCAAGGCCTTTGTCAGTGGTGTCCAGGGCGCTCTAGGAAGCTGCTTCCTCCCACAGAGCTCTCTGGGCAACCTGCGGGGTTGTCATCACTCTCTTGCGCTCTCTGAGAGGGATGGTTCTGACCCTGGCCCCCTGGCACTCTCTGCGTGACACCGCGGGCGTTGCCGTAACCTCACAGAGGGGTCTCTAAGTGACAGGTAGGACAGTCGTCCTAACCTCTGTAGCATGTGGAGGATACCTGTTGGCGAGCCTCTCTGAGCATCTCTAACTGCTAGAAAGAGGCCGGGGTTGGATGTGTCGCTGGCCTCTATCATGTAGGAAGGGGACTAGTTTATTTTTCTGTCTGTTTTGGTTTTGCCCTTTTATGACAATACAAATGACTCTCTCTGAGAATTTTGTGACACTAACAGGCTGGATCGGCTCCACTGATGTGAAATCCTTTCCATTTTGGTTAATGCTTAATCTACCATACGCAATATGCATAGTGCAAGCACTGTCGTTCCACAGAAGATTTCCTGTGCCAGAGCTAAGCTCCACTCACCACAACTCCCATATCTGCAACCGGTGTTCATATAAGGGCAACCAATTATCTTTTCTCCAAATCACTATTTCTGGTCTGGCCATTTATCCCCCCAGTTCTAAATTTTAAAATTATTTACCATCCATAAAGTCCAGATTAGGCAGTTTATTGTGCCATTTGAGGATGATTAATTTAGTTCTGCATAGTGCTAAGGGAAGTGCCTGGCTTCTAATACATCTATTTCAAGCTTCCATGGGTTAAAACCCCCCTAATTTATGGTGTTTTAAGCAGTTGACCATCTATTAAACAGGTATGATGACACTAACCTCACAGGTGTGGTTTGAGAGCCTCAGTTATCATGCAAATTATTTACTTGGTGCTGGTCATTTGTGTGGGGTTTTCATGACGGTGTGGTCGATAAATAAGGCGGGAAGAAAGTGCTGGCTGTTTTTCCAACAGTCTGTTCTGATCTGTTCTTCTTTTCCCTGGCATGGATGTAGTACTCAATTTTATGGGCATAGGAACTGTCCCCTAGTCACAAGACAGGTGGTGAGGAATCTTCCACCCTTGGGACTACGACTCTATGGAGTGGAAAGCCCCTCATACACCAGCTGATTGCGTACCTGGCATGAGAGACAATTGATTCCTTTCCTATATGTTCCAGGCCCACAGCTCCTCTTTCATGCTCTGTCTTATGTTTTGCAGGGTCTGTTCTTGTAGTCTTCAATGGAGAGCGACTGTACAGACCAATGATGAGGACCAGCCCTCGCAGGCCCCTGATTCTCAAGAGACGAAAACTGTCCCTCCCGGATGGCAATGCATCCAACTCTCCAGCAAGAGATGAACCGGATGGGGAGAGTAAAGGAGCTCCCAAGCAGGAGCATAGCAGAGGGGACAAACCCAGGGACAGAGTGGAGTGTGTCACCCAGAAATTCCCAGCAGGAATAAAGATCATTAATCACCCAACCATGCCCAACACCCAGGTGGTGATCATCCCTCCCGATGCTGACATCCAGAGTATCATTGAGGCTCTGACAGCCAAGGGGAAAGAATGTGGCAGCAATGGGCCCAACAAGTTCATTCTTATCAGCAGTGGGGGCAGCTCTCGCCCCACAGGCTCAGCAGCAACTCAGCAGAAGCTCCAATCAAAGGATGAGATGAGCACAGCAACAAAGGGGACCAGACCAGCAGATTGTCAGGGTGCAGAGAAGAACATTGAACAAAACCCTGACAAAACTGTGGAAAGGGCAGTACTGTGGCCTCCACAAGCCAATTCCATGGGAGGACAAGAACAGGAAGGAAACAGTACGTAGGCTGTTCCCTTTTGTTGGCCTCTTAAGTGCAACGAGAGGTGGGTGGGTGTGGGAGGCCTGTGCCTTGCTCAACATGGAAGAGTTCAGTGGTGAAAAATGTGAAATTTTAAGCAGCCCAACTGGTTAGTATATTAGCCTTCTACATATGGTGACAGGGGTTCAGATACTGAATCCAAGTCAAAATCAGTGATCTTAGGGCATGGTGTTTCCCATAGAGTTTGCAGGGTGTGTTACAGGTCAAGACTTTGGTACACTGACAGAATGGGAGGTGAGGGGGGTCAGAACTACAGGAGCAAAGGGTTTTGCTGCCTGGGACAAAGATATTTAGTTTGTTGGCTAGTAAATATCTGGGGACATTTTTTAAGCACTGCGCTCAGCACTCGCTCTGGGCCAGGGCAGATGGAGGTTCAGATCCAATTTGGGATTTTTAGGTTTGGAGCCTTTCCAGCAATTGGGCTGATCCACAGCTAAATCAGGAGCTCTGGCTAGATCCACAAGATGCTTTAGCCTCAGAGCTCCATCTTGTGCCTCTAGCTCGAGATGGGGAACTTGGGCCCATTTTGGGAGACCTGGCTGGGGCCTCTCTTTAGGTATCTGGGATGGCAGCAGGTGAATGAGCAGGGCTCTTTGTTTGTTTCCCTGCAGGTAGTGGAGAGGCAACGAGCAGCGGGTTGGATAACAGTCTGACTAACATCCAATGGCTAGGGAAGATGAGCTCTGATGGGCTGGGCCCCTGTACTGTGAAACAAGAGATGGAGAAGGAGAACCAGACACCTGTGCAGGAGAGGATCAAGGTAAGGGAGGGAGATGGTGGGGTACATAATAGAGTAAACCTCTGGAAACTGAAGACAGGAATGTGGGTGAGAACACTCAAAGGGAGCAGACATGACAAAATCTGGGTAACCTGAGCCTCCGCCAAGTTGATCTGTGCAGCAGAGTCCTCCGGCTAAGAGGAACTTCCTTGGAACTTTCCTGGGCTCCTGCAACTTTCACACTGTTTCCTCCTTTTTTCTTCCAGACTGAAGAAGACTCCATTGCTGCTACTGCTACCTCCTCCTCCTTGTGGCAGGACCCGGTATCAGAACGGCCCCCCTACTCCTACATGGCCATGATCCAGTTTGCCATCAACAGCACTGAGAAGAAGCGCATGACCCTGAAGGATATCTATACCTGGATTGAGGACCATTTCCCTTATTTCAAATATGTGGCCAAGCCGGGCTGGAAGGTAACATGTTCTGTTGAGGATGCATCTGACTCCACCCCTAGGTGTGGGCAACAGAGTTTTAGGGCTTGTCTATACTTCCAGCTAAATCAGCACTGCTGCAATCTATGTAGCGGTATTGATTTAGCAGGTCTGGTGAAGTTGATGGCAGAGTGCTCTCCCGTTGAGATTTGTACTCACCTTCCTGCCTCTTGGGGAGGTGAAGTCAGCAGTAGACACTGCTATAGGTCGAACATAGTTACATAGCATAACTTAAGTTGATTTACAGCATTAGTATGGACCAGCCCTCACACGAGGGGGCTGCTTGCTTGGAGAATTGCTTTTTTTTTTTTTTTTCTTCATCCAAAGGAACAAGCAGCCCATGAAACAGGATGGAAAATAGTTTCAAACTAAGGGCCCTCTTCAATTTCTGATGTTCCGTTTTCCATCTCAAATACCCTAGCATCCTCTCTCAACTCCTCTCAGGCAGGGGAGAGGGCTGGCTGGTTACTGGGCAGGAAGCTGGAATATCTTTGGCGGGGGCACTAAGGGACTTTAGTGATGGGGATATAACTGGGTACCAGGTGAGCATGAAGGGCCGTAGTCTGCCAGGGGGGCATTCCCCTGCCTGGGTTGTAGTGTCTTAGGGTCCTACCTATGCTTGGTTACCAAAAACATTAAGATCTTTCCTCTCCACCTAGAACTCCATTCGACACAATCTATCACTTCACGATATGTTTGTCCGGGAGACGTCTGCCAATGGTAAAATCTCCTTCTGGACGATCCACCCTGATGCCAATCGCTATCTGACGCTGGACCAAGTGTTCAAGGTGAGCGGCTCCTGGGAAGGAAAACAGGTAGCCTTCCCAATTCCGGAAGAGGGGCATCTGATTGCATCTGATTTCAACAGGGAGGTGAAGCCCTCTTGGCATGTGGCCTCAGTCCAACTTCTAGAGAACAAAGTCACTATTAACTTTACAAGTAGCGAGTTCCCTGTTTTGAAATGGGAGGTAGCCTGGATGGGCTGGAGCACCTTTGATGCAACAGGGCTCTCCAGGCGCAGTGTAGCAATGTGAATAGTGAAAGAGGTAGAATAAGCTTTCAGCCAGCTGCTTTCCAAAGGACTGATGCAAACTCACATAGTAGCTAATGGAAAGACTCCCATTGACTTAAATGAGAGTTGGGTTGGGCCTTTAATGCACTGCATAGTTGTGTTTGACCAGCCATGCAGGCAGAATTGCCTTGTGTCACCTGGGGGCTGTGGAAGGGGTCCCTTTGTGAAAGGAATGGAGACCTTCTCTTGCTGCAATGATTTTCAGAGCAGGCAGGGTGAACGCTTCCTGTGTTTTCTCCCTGGTGGGTGGGCAGCTTGATGTTCCTACTTGGGAACTTTGTGCAAGGGTTAATGTCCCATACTTTTTCCCCCTTTGGTTGGTAACTTCCTCTTATTTTTCTCCCTCCTGATGCCTTGCTGCCACCAGCCGCTGGATGCGGGGTCACCAACATCGCCTGAGTACTCTGAATCAGTAAGACTTTCCCTCTGGCTCGGGGCTTGGGCTGCTTTTCCTTTTGCCAGTGATTGCAGGAAAGGACAGGATGCTTGGGGAGGGGGAATGAGTCACCGCAGCTGCCAGTCCAATAGCTCCTTGCACACCTTTTTGGGGAAGGAAGCATGCCTGATATAATGGAGGGCCAAGTTTCTAACAGCTGCAGAAAATGCACTAGCTGGTGAAGTCCCGATAATGATGGATGGATATTTGCAATATTTTATTGGCATGAAATGTGTCTCCAGAGAACAAACCCAGCCAGAAGTTTCAGGTACAACCCTCCCTGGCAGCAGCTCCTCTCCTTTCTGGGCTGTGGCTTCAGGAAGGGCAAAATCTCTGTGCACTCCTTTCTTCTCCCTGGAAGCACCGTGACTCTTGGCCAGATGGAAGTTGGTGCTGCCTCCTTCACCTCCAGCAGTATAGCGATAATAGATGTGCAAGCAGCTAGCCAGACTTGTCTCCATTTCCTTTCCAACCGCATCCCTCTTCAATTCCTCTTTCGCTCTGCTGTTCCACTTGAGCATTTTGGGCTATGGTTTGTATGAAAGACACTACACGCTGTAAAGCTGTATTGTTCACCTTTCCTCAGGCGGAGAGGACACCAAAATCAGGTCATTTCTCCTGCAGCAGAGACCACAGCTGGAGAAGCTCCATCATGCCAGCTCACCCTCCACAAGGCTTTTGTGTGGCAGCTGGCAGAGGGATGTCATGGGCATGCAATGGCAGGTGGCACACGGTCTCAGGGTGGTAACGGTTGCTCTCTCAGCACTAGCTCAGCACAGGCCTCTGGATCCACATTCCTAAGTGAGGCAGTCGAACAGAGATGGGTTCTTCTCTTTAACTCTCTTTTCTCCTCTTTCTTATCCCCCAATGACCATAGCAGCAAAAACGACACATTCCAGAACTCCAGAAGAACACAGGGGGCAACAGCAGCAACAAAACTGAGCCGCAGAATGCACGTGAGTGTGTGCATCTGTCTTGGACAGAAAGACAGCCAGTCCCCTAACCAGGGTGATGGGCGCTTGATCCCGAACTGCCATTCCCAGCCTGTAGGAAAAGAAATGGAAATTGCTGTCCAGCATTGCCTGCTCGCAGGCTTGCCACGGCCGCTCCTGTCTGACAGGTTTGGAGCTGAGGGCAGGGCTACTGCATCTGAGAGAAGACGTCTGGGGGTGGGGGGGAGGCCTGATACAGAGGCCGGTGCTCAAAGGGAGTAGGAGCTGAGCTCTGTGGGGAGCAGTATCCCAACCCAAGACACCTTGAGTTGGGGGTGGTTGTTCGGAGCTCCTGGGTTCTGCTGGGTTTCGGCTCAGGACTTGCAACCCCATAACTATGCAGAAAAGGCAGGGGCGGGGTGAGCCCCTCCCTGGAATTAGTTAGTCAAGAGATGGGGAGCTTGAACCATCCTCATTCCCAGAAAATAACTGTCTAGTGCCTGGCCTGTGGTGGGGGGAGATGAAGAGGCTCCCCAGAGCAAGACGCTAGCTGATCCAGTCTCTTCCCTTCCAGGCCGAAAGATGAAGCCTTTGCTTCCTCGCGTCAGCTCCTACCTGGTTCCAATCCAGTTTCCTGTGAGCCAACCTCTCATCCTGCAGTCCTCCCTGAAGGTGCCTCAGCCCGTGGCCCAGGGAGCCTCCCTCAGTGGCTCAGAGTCTATCCGGAGCAGCAAGCGTGTACGCATTGCTCCAAAGGTTAGTGATTCTGCTAGCCTTGGGCTTCTGTGGTGCCAGTCTCCCCTGCTCTCCACAGGGTTTTTTTGCCCACTCTCGCTACTGCCGTCAAACGTCCATGCTTGCAGTGGTGGGACTGGTGCTGGCTGGCGCTTGGCTGCACCTGCCTTCCATCCCCCATTCCTAAGGTGACTGTTCTCCTCTAGTTGTCTTGTCATGGGTAGGCTGCTTTTTACTTCACACAGGCATTCTCCTCTGAGTATGAACGAACGACTCCTCTATTGTCCAGCTACAAATAACCAGAGACAGGAGCAACATGGATTCTCTCCTTTTTTCAAGCCTTCATTCAGTTCCTAATGGAACTGCATTGTTCTCTTGACCCATTCTGGTCTCCCTTTACATTTTGAAGAGTGTGGTTTTTGCCTCTTTCAGAAGCGCCCAGCCCTCCTCACTACCTGCATCCCCCAACCACAACACTCCTTGGGTTCACAGCGCCTCCCCAGAAATACTGCTCTCTAGGGACACCATCTGTTGGTGCTGTGCCAAGATCCACTCCGTGCGCTTTGCTGGCTCCTCTCTATCTAATCACATTATTGCTACTGACTTCAGCAACGTGCCTTCCTTTCCCCCTCCGCCTGATCCCAAAGCTTTACTGCCCCTCTTCTTCCTGCTGCATTTCCTGCCTTGTGATTTTTTTTTTTCTCTAGACCCCTGCTTACTCACTGTAGTGTGTCATTCCTCACTTCTGTGCTTCCCGTGTAGGTGTTGCCATCGACTGAAGAGCCATCCTCATTCTTGCCCACGGGGCCTGTGAAGGAGAAGAGTCACTGTGATGAAAGGCCGTCCCCATTTGCCCCAACCCAATCTGTAAAGGAGAACAACTCCCAGCCTGGTGAAGCACCAGCCTCTTTCCCTGCAGCCCTGTGTATAAAGGAGGAGAAGGAGGACTGCTGTCCTGACAAATGGCTGCCCTCATTCCCCCCAGTCTTGTCTATAAAGGAGGAACCAATGCAGTCTGATGAAGAGCCAGGCCTGTTGCTCCCAGTACCATGTGTGAAGAGGGAGAAACACTTCCCTGTGCTGAAGTCCCCGCCCCGCGGCGTATCTGACACAGTGATTATAAAGAGGCGGAAGATGGGCAGGTCCAGAAGGAAACAGCACCTAGTGCTACCTTGCTCAGAAGAGCCAGTCCTGGTTCTGCCAGAGAGCAGTGGCTCTGACTCCTTCAGGTTGACATTGGACTTTCCTTTCCTGCAGGAAACCCAGTCTCTGGAGCTCAGCTGCTCCCAGGAGGAGGGTGGCCCCTTTAAAACACCAGTCAAGGAGATGTTCTGCAAACTGCCAGTTTCCTCCACCCCAAGCAAAGTCCCAACTGCTACGCCACCAACGGGGGGCCCTGACTCCTGGAGACTTGCACCCATTGCTAAGGAAAGCAGTGAGCTGGATTTCAGCCCCGTGAGAACCCTTCAGGTGCCATTCACATCCCTCCAAGAGAACTTGGACTTGCTGGGCTTCAACAGCACTCCCCTTAAAAACTCCTTGTTTGACTCCCCTCAACAGCTTCTCCAAACAGAGTCCAATGACATGGTTTCCGGGCCCCTCACAAGCTCTCCTGCTTCCAATCCTGAATCCACCAAGCAATCATCCCCGGAATTGCCAGCCTCTGGACTTCCTGAGAACCAGTCTCTCATGGAGGGCCTGGTTCTGGACACCATGAACAACAGCCTGAGCAAAATCCTGCTGGATATCAGCTTTTCTGGCCTAGAGGATGACATCCTGGGGCAAGAGATGAGCTGGTCTCAGTTTATTCCTGAACTGAGATAGGCTGTGTTTGGCTTATTCCCAAGCTGTAATGGACACTGGGCTCTACTGAGACTTGCTTAGATGGGATATGCAGGGGCCCATAATGTGGTTTTGACTTATTCCCATTGGGAATACTGGGCTGTGCTGAGATCTGCTTGGCTGGAAAACAGACAGGCCCATTGGCTGCTATGAGCTCATTTATGAGCTGCAATAAATATTGGTCTGGGACAGGCTGGGGCTTATTGGCTGGTCTTGCCTCAGGCCTGAGTAAGTGGAGAAACAGAGTCCCTTGTGAAAAGGTGTCAGGGAAGGTTTCCAGGTGGGTGCTGAATCACCCTGCCATCCAAGGGGTTGGAGGCGATGAGGATAGGCCCCTCCAAAGTACACCTACTGGAGGGAGGAAAGTCCCAAGCCTTTCCTGGCTCTGTCCTCAACAACTCCCTCGTACAATTCCCTTCCTTTCACTCTGCTCCACTTTTCTGAGATGCCTTGCCTGTCATGACTCTGTAAATATTGTACATTCCTTAAATTAGCTTTTAATTATAAATGTCACTTTATTCTTTTAGAACTTTTATGGGCATAGAAATGGGTGGTAAAAGGCTTGATTTGAAGCATTGTCCCTGTCTCTTCTCCCTGAACCAGGTTGAATGCCTAAGATGCCATTTTTGGTCTTTTTTCACTTCAGAAACACATTGGCATAGGACACTCTGAGTGTTGGCAGGGGCAGAGGTTGAAAGATCACCCCTCCGCAAGTGTGTGTCTATTCCAATTGAAGTGGTGGAGAGGAATTGTAAGATGGATGTTAAAATCTTCACTTAAAAATATGCGGTCTCTTGAAACTCACTTGTGTATCTTCCACTGCAGTGTGTAATAGGGCAGCTGGTGTCAGTCCTCCGGAGTTTATGTAATAAGAAGGAATGTGCCCTGGAAGGACTTTAGATAGGGCCTCTGTTCAAAAACAAAATAAGACACAGACATACCTCAACCAAACCGTTTCCATTTACTGTGTATAAACTGGGGGTGGGATCGCTGGGCCACGTGCTGCCATTGCTGCTTTCAAGAGTCAGAGCCAGCACCGCTATTCTAACTTTCTTTCTTGGTGCGAGTGCATTTTAACAATTCACTCAAGGTAGACAATGCAATGAGGAGTTAATTTCCATTGCCTAATATTCATGCTCTAGCACTGTGATTCAGTTCTGAAAGCAAGCCCTAGACTAATTCAGGAGGTATGTGGGGTGGAAAAGAACTGTGAGCGGAAGGGGGAAAGAAGGATGAGTCGGGTTCCATCTTGTCAACGTTTGGGGAAATCCCACAATTGTGGGAGATTCCTAGGATCTGTTCTGGTAGCTGTCCAGAGCTGAAGACCCAGACAGTAAGCTCTTAGCTTTTTTCTTCCTCAGCTTTGAGAACTCCAGGATCATGATTTCATACGGTCACCATTCCCCCTTCTCCCCATCTTAAATGCAGCTTAGCTTTAGGGGCCAGGGGGAGCAAAAACATAAATTTTTCAAAAATAGAAGGGTGAGGTGGAAAAAAAGGAACAAGCAAGGGATGAAAGGAAAGCAGCAAATAGCCAGGAAAGAAGGGAGACGGTGGCAACTGTGTCCACCCATGGAGCAGGGAGACGATCCACCAGTGTATCACATGTAGGAGCGCCAGTAAAAGACTAGGAGACACCTGGCTAGCACCAAGCCACTGTTTGGAATTCTAACCAAAGCATGTTTAATAGAAAATGTTAATACTGGATCTGAGCCTTGCTTCAGTGTATTGTCTCTGAGAGGTTTCAGAGTAACAGCCGTGTTAGTCTGTATTCGCAAAAAGAAAAGGAGTACTTGTGGCACCTTAGAGACTAACCAATTTATTTGAGCATGAGCTTTCATGAGCTACATGCATCGGATGAAGTGAGCTGTAGCTCACGAAAGATCATGCTCAAATAAATTGGTTAGTCTCTAAGGTGCCACAAGTACTCCTTTTCTTTTTGTCTCTGAGAGGTTAGTAGCAGATGCTTTAGAGTAAAGTGCAAGAAACACCACACTGGACAATTAAAAAATAATATGCCCATAGGAGAAGCACTCTTATACAATTAGATGTTATCCATATGAATGTCTAATCTTTTTTCTGAATCCTGCTAAGCTGTTGGCTTCAATGACATCCTATGTCACTGAGTTCCAGAGATTAACACAGCGGGGGGGGGGGGGGGAAATAACTTCTTGAAATTTTTTTTTTCTGTTTTATATAGCGTTTGATAACCTTCCCCCACCTCCCCCTTTATTCCTGAAATCTAATTTTGGGAGATAGAGCTGCAAGGGCTCTGTAGCCTTACCAATAAAACAACGGGAGGATGGGAGACTAGTATTTTTATTAAGGTGGAATCATACTAGGGAAATCTTAGATTAGACCATAAAGCCCCACTGGTTAGCACCAGCCTTTGCATTTAGAGGGACACAAATCTCAGGAATTTCTAACAATACTTGGTAGTAGCCCTCCAACCACAAAGGCTGGTGCTAGCCAGTGGGACTTTAGGGTCCAGTCTAAGCTTTCCCTAGCATGATTCCACCTTCATAACACCATTTCCCCCTCATCCCTTTGTTTTATTGGAAAGGAGACAAAACCCTTGCAGCTCCATCAGATACCATTCTCAGAATTTTGTCTATGGCTTCAGAGAATAGAGTGCTGAGTGTGACCCAGTCCTACCCATTTTAATTAGTGTACTAATGATTTATGAACTGTAGGGTTTTTCTTCCACAAGGGAAAATTATAGAAAGTAAATATGAAAGATATTAGGTTCCAGGTTGTCCATGTCCTTGGGGCCAATGCAGGACTGTTTCCTCAATTGTGCTTTCTGTAGTCTAGTTGATCTTGTCTCCAACCATGTGGCTTCCATCATTTCCAGTAGGAAGATTAGTGGAAGGTAAATAGTTCACATGGTTAGGGCATTTTCCCTGCTAAGATGTTTGGGGTCCACCAGCCTGCTAGTTAAGTATATCTCCCCTGTCTTTAGAAAACTAATTCTACACAAGTTTTGGATATCCCTCCTCCACTTGAGACTTAAAAGTCCATATTTACCTATATACCTTTTCAAATATTCCAGTTATGCTCTTTCATGCCTCTTCCTTAGTGGTCATTTGCCTAAGACCTACATATTTAGGTTCGAATCCTTCCTCAGATGTCACTCCCAAACTCTATATAATCACGTTTGTTGCTGTTTTCTGACTCCCCTCCATCTACCCTGTCCAGAATAGAATATGCCAAGTGTGATCACACTGCTGTTATTCCCCTCCACCCCCCACACTCCATGATGTGATATCTACAAATACAGCCTAAAAGCATATCTGTGATTGCATGCTCCCTTTTGGCACACACCAGAGGGGAATTATACCAGGTGCAGCAGCTTCTGTTCACTAATGCGCATTCAAATAGAAAATGCAAAAATGAAAAGGAGATACAATCAGCTCCCACTGGTTTCAGAGCAAAAATGCAACAGTTCACTAGTCAGTTCACACTTAAATAACAAATGGAAGAGCTAAGTTCTGATGGGTCTAAGTAGAAAGGCACGAGACCTAAAGGTGAGATTTTCAAAAGCAATGTAGTGCTTGCCTAAAGGGAGTTTAGCCATTAACTGCAATGGGAGTAGCATTAGACCAATGCTAAGTGCTTTTGAAAATCTCAGTCTGTATGGGCAGCAAAGAGCTAAGCATATAAGAAGCCTGTCAGAGAGCTGTGTTCTAATGGACTGAGCATGTGGCTGAGAGGCAGCAGACTTGAGTTCTATTCCCACTTATTTTCACCTGTCTGTGCCTCAGAGATTTTAAAGCCAGATGGGACCCTTATGATTATCTAGTTTTACCTGTATTTCATAGTCCAGAGAATCTAACCAAATAGTTCCTGCTTCAAGTCCATAACTTCTGGGGGAGCCTCAAGTTTCCTCATCTCTAAGGAGGAGATAAACTTTTCTCTAGAGTGCTTTGAGGTGATGAAAGTGCTACTTAACTGCTAGGTATTGTTACTCTGAAACTGAAAAACATTCAGTGGGCCAACGGGGCTCTCTTCCTTTTAGTTTACCTACAAATGTCCTTTCAAGATTCCTTAGTTCAAATGCTCCTGCTTCAGCCCCAGCTGAAGTCATAGTTCTCTGTACATGACATCACAAGTGGCTGCTGGGGAAATTGATCTGTGCAACGCAGCTCTCCGGTAGGAGGAGATCAAAGGCCCAGAGGTAGATGGGAAAACAAGAGAGCATGAAGCTAAATCCTAGGTCTGCAGGGGGGGAGCAAGGCATGGAAGGAAGAGAGAGAGACCAGGAGTGAGGCCTGCAGAGGTGTTGAGCAGCCACTCATTGTTTTTCTCTTTTGAATATTTTTTAGCCTTTGTCATTCTTTCAGACTTTGCAGCATTTTGTTTTTGTTTAAATGAAACCCCACCATCTGCAGTTCTGGAGCTGGGCTGGTAATTTGCCTGAAGGAGGACTTTAGAATGTCTCTCAAAATTATGACCTAGGCATCATTATCTGTCTGCAAATCCCAGAAGGTAAACATCTGTGGGGAAAGTCTGAACTGTGCTCTATTGCCATCAGCTTTATAGAAAATCGGTGGGTAAGTATGACTGTACTATAGTTGCTATAACAACAAGTAGATACACAAATGCCACACAGAGCTCGAGCTCTGCGGACTTCCTTAAATGGGAAATGGGCTGTGTCTGTGAGAAGAGAGTCACCTCAAAGCCCTTTGGGATGCCCAAGAAGGTGAGATCTTTGTGCCCAGTTTGCCTGGGGAAAATGTTCCATGAAAAGAAACAGTGACTTCTCCAAGTGTCTGGAAGGATGCTTATGGCAAGACAGTCTCTTTACAGTCAGCAAATATTACTTTTGTTCCTGAAGTTCTTCCTTTATGGAAGAGACCTATTGATCTGAGAGAATGGCCTTTCCATGGCCGGGGACTTAATTCTGTATTGAATTCCACATTGACAGAGAAGATCTCATTTTCTTTTGCACTCCAGAGGCTTAAGCCCAATTTTTCTAGAACCCTATGTGTATCATCCCTAGTCCATGATAGATCATATTTCCTGAAGGGTTCATTTCAAACTAGGAACTGAATAGATGCCTAGAGCGGGAATTGGTTTCCTTTCTCCCCAGAGTGGCAGTGCACAATACCCGCAGAGAGCATGCAGTGCTAGGTAAGATGCTGTGCAGGACACATCATTGCAGAGTGGGCGTGGGAGCCCTGTGCTTGCATGCCCCATTGCAATGAATCTTCTGTAATTTGTGCTGTTTACAGCAATGCTGGTGACTTTTAAACATTTCTCATTTCTTATGGTAGTGCCCTGGGGCTAACTAAGAACAGCACCCCCTTGTGCCAGGCACTGTACAAACTGAACAATAGCCCCTGCCCCCAAGAAGCCTACAACCTGAATAGAGAAGGTAGACAAAGGGCAGGGGAGAGGGATAGAGCAAAGCAGAGTGAATGATGAGATGGCACCATTTTTTAAATCTGTTTTATTATTTCAGCCCTTTCAGTGTTAGGAGAGGATTAGCTAGCTGGCAAGACAAAGGACAAGAGGGGGATGGAGAGGTAGAGACAGTGAGGAAGCGGGTGGAAGGGGTTACAGAGGAGAGGGAAGGGATGGAGCAAACAGCCAGTCAGCACAGGGAAGAGAGTGCAAACTGCAGAAAACTGTATAATGACAGCATCCTGGTCATTTGGTCCCTCAAGAAGGTACATACCTTCATATTAAGTAAACTGAAGGTATGGATGCTCCCTCTAATGTCAGGTACCCTCTTAGATAGATGTGAACTGACTCTCCTCCCCCCTCCCTTGGAGGAAAACAGGTATCTCTGGATTGTGCTGTTTAGTGAGATTGTCCCCATGGAGACTCTGTAAGTTTCTGGCGGTACAGCCTGCTAGTTACTGGGACAGTGGGTGAGGTGGAGAGTATTTTAAGCCTTGCATTACTCTCTGTTTATAGCAGTCGGAAATGTTTTGTTTCTCTCTTGTGGGGAGCCCAGCACTGGAATAGCAGGGGGCTGCAGGGCAGGACTGAGGCATTGGCAGAGCTAGGTGGGGAAAGTTTACAGCTGAACACTGCAAATTGTTCCTGACTTTGCCCACTGTATTCAGGAGCTGCAAGCTGTGACAAGAATACTGGGATGCTAGAGATCTTTACTGAGGGCTGGCTTTATCAGATGTTTTCTCCCTGCTTTTTCCCAGCTAGGCGTCATCTGGGATCTCTTTGCAAATGACCACTTGGGCAGAGCGTGAGCTCTTGTGTAAAGAGAGGCATACCGCATGGCCAGGGTTTTCCCCAAGAGCTTATCATAAACTGGCAGTTGCAAGACCACCATGCACAGACAGCAAGATCAAAGTTCGTCAGAAACTGCGCTGCCCCTGGGAAGACACTAGCCGCTGGCACATCTGGGGATATCACACCTGGCTGGATGTAGGGAGGTTGCCACCACTCTTCCCTTCGAGGCCAGACATACCTTATGACAGCAATGTGTGGCGATGGATTACTGCTCCCAGGGCATACTGCATGCCCCAGCCACCTGTCCCGCCTCCCTCAGAGATGGATAGGAACACTTACCTCAAGTTTATCACACAGGGAGCTCTGTTTTTCAACCAGAAACATAAGGAAAGAGCTATGGCCCAAATACAGAAAGAGCTCCAAGAATGCAAGCGACTGAAGACGATGAGTGAGTGCCGAGCTC